GGACAAGAATTCCTGCACCTGAAATGAGGAGAGAAACATAAAGAAAAGAGGAAAGGAGAAGGACTTTCATGTCTAACTTATTAGATATGCTGCATTTATTTGATCAAAAATACAGTAATATTGTAAAATATTATTACAGTTTAAACTTTATTATTACACTTTGTTTACTATTTTAATATAATTTAAAAATGTAATTTATTCCTGTGATGGCAAAGTTGGATTTTCAGCATCATTACTCCAGAAACATTTCTTATTACTACCATCAATGTGCAAAACATTGACAGAGTCTTTGCAGTCACTTATGATAAATTGAATGCATCTTTTCTGATTTTTTTTTTTTAATCTTTCAAAAAATACCTGACCAAACTAAGGGTTGTGTATGCTAGTTTCATGTCAATAGTATCACACATTGGTCTCTTACTTCACAAGTAATAAGATCATTATTAATATTTCATGTCCATTTATTTATGTATTTGATAAGTAGATGTGTAATAGTGGGATAACTGTACAGTCAATCATTAGTGCAAAATAAAGCTCTCATGGGTTTATTTTGCAACAGGCAAAAAAACTCCAAAAAAAAGAGGAATTTTGAAAAATTATTTTGTTGTTAGACAAAGCATTAAAATAATGTAGGACATAGTCTTGGATGGAAATGTATTTCTGTTGACATTAGTATTTCAGCTTGTTTTTACACTGGTAAAATGTATTATAGGTGTGTGTTACTAACCCTCCCTTCACTCTCATTGGAAAGTATCTCCAGTGCCTCAAGATGAGACAAGCCTTGGTAATCATCAAACAAGATCCCATAGTGGGCGGTTGGTTCTGTGACCATCTGACTGCTCAGTCTCTCTCTCTCCTTCTCCTTTGCTTCTTTTAACATCTGCACACAAACACAACATAAGCACATACAGCAGCTAAGTGACACACAAGCATATACTGAAAACATGGCAGGATTTTCCAAAAAAAAACACTGTATCTTCTAAGGTAAGACGGTTGTAGGCACTCCGCTGGGAAAACAACACCCAATAATCATGGTGAGAAATGTTATTTGAGCATTTGTTGACCATCTAACCTGAGACAGAGAGACAGTTCTCTGCATCAGTATTTTGGTCTTTTTAAAACCTGGGTCTCTCTCTGCCAAGACATTCATGGTCTTCTTTCCAATGAACTCCAAAGCATCAAGACCTCCTGTTATTACTGACTTTCCCTGAAAACGCAAGAGGGAGAAAACATTTGTATGAACATGACAATTTTTCTGTGATCCACTCACAAGTGGTCAGCCGAGACTCATTACTATCTCAAAAGCATCTCCAGATTTGAAGTATTGGGTCTGATTTTGCTACATTTCAGTGATATGGTAAATCATATGAGCAGACTCACAGTGCTCTGAACAGCGCTGCTGATGGTTGACAGTACTCCTCTCTGCACCTCCTCTGAATGAACGTGTTCTGCCGTCTCTGTCCCAGAATGCTCATGGGCCTCTTCTGCCTCCTCACATGATGAGCTCTGACGGATTCGTAATGCCACACCTGCTTTCTCTTTTACAGAGCTTAACCCTTGACCTAGGGACAATCAAAGGATGGAAAAGCATTCAACTTTAGGGCAGCATTTACCCTGCAAGGCCTAATGCACAGAACAGATACTGACTAAATCGGATTTATTGTCCAGATAGTTTACAACTGTGACAATAATATCTACTAAGACACACTGAGCTGACAATAGCACTTTCTGCATTTAGAAGTTAGCCCTTTAGTATTATGCCTCACATGTGTTTTTATATGAATGCTATCTAATATGATATTATTTTGCAAGTTCTTGCTCTGTATGCTGTTAATTTAAATAATACAACAAAAAAATTAAAATGTGTGTACCGTAATGCACTTTAAATCACTTTACCTTGGTCCCATCGACTGCATGAATAACAAAACAGATCATTTGAGATCATTGCAAAATTTAAAAAAAAGACTCTTCAAACATTTGGGGTAAGATTTTTTTTTTTTTAAGAAATGAATACTTTTTATTCTGCAAAGATGCATTAAATTGATCAAAAGTAACAGTTAATTTATAATGTTATAAGAGTTTTTTTTTTTCAAATAAATGCAGAACTTTCTATACATAAAGTATTCTTTAAAAAAAAAAGTATCAAGGTTTCCACAAATATATTAAGCAGCACAGCTATTTTCAATATTCATAATAATAATAATAAGCATCAAATCAGTATATTAGAATGATTTCTGACGGATCATGTGACACTGAAGACTGGAGTAATGATGCTGAAAATTCAGCTTTGCTGTCACAGGAATAAATTACTTTTTAAAACGTATTAAAATAGAAACCATTATTTTAAATTCTAATAAAATTTCACAATATTATTATTGTTTTTACTGTATTTTTAATCAAATACAACTTCTTTTAAAATGATAAAAAATTTGCATCAACACTAAACTTTTGAACAGTATAGTATTTTTTTATTGAATTTAGAAATACTTTTTAGTTGCCACAAATTGGATAGCAAAAAATTTAATCTCATATGTATTTTTGCTGTTTACATGCATGCAACAAAATCTGATCTGTGCTAGATCAACAACCCAAATGCTAAAATGTGACAAAAACACAGATTGATACTCTCTGTGACGATGTTATCTTACAGTTACCTGTGGAAGGATCTACTGTATGGTTAGCCTCACTGTAGTGACAGGTTGCTATGGTGACTTACCCACAGTGGATGTAGCAGTGGTCAGAAGTGACCTCCCCCAGGAGCCCCAACTACTCCAGCCTTTAGGTTTAGACTCATCCGGGCACTGATAACATGCATCCACACAGCCGAAAAATACACACAAAAGATGGATTTATGGATTTTGTGACGCAAACACAGATCAATCCTATTAAATGTACCTCTGTTCCCTGCACTTCTTCCTGTGTAACATCTGCATCCAGGCTCACTGAATCCACACATTCAGTCACCTGACCCTCAGGTTTTTCTTCTGATGGATGTACCTGCTTCACTTCAACACCTTTAGTTGTACTGTGCTCTTCTGCAGCCACATTGGTTGAGTCAGAGGCCGATGTGTCTAGTGAGATTTGTGATATCAGCAGGACCTCGTCTGTATTTGCTGCAGTCTCATCAGAGGCAGTCGTCTGGAGGGAAGGGGGAGATTTTGTAGCGAGGTCTCCCAAGGTCTCATCTTGCGACATGGTGCTCTGATAAAAAAATAGATAAACAAACAAAGTGTAGCAGCTGGCCATGACAGGCTGTGACTGACAACAAACTAACTGGTGACTAAACACTGAGACAGCTGAGCTCTGACTAAGGTTTGCAAATTACAACTGGAAATTGTTCAACGGCATTAGCAAAAACACATCACAAGCACACTGAAAAGAAAAATGATGTTGCTCTTGTGAAATATCAAGTCACATTCTAAAATATGTTGCACTGAGACTCGTTTCTCAAAAATGCAGATATAAATTGGCTTGTCGATGTGCATATAGAACATACTGGGTGTTATTTAGGAGACTAATGCTAATGGGTTGCTAATATAATGTCTATAATAATTTGGAATCCATCCTAGTAGGATCAAGAACAATTTGCTAAGATCTTCCCTTATAACTGAAATTCATATCTATTAGGATCTTATTTAATGAATTTGTTTTATTTATTTATTTATTTTTCAAATTATGCCGATAATTCCATTAGGATTTCTTTGGGGACTAGGGAATTCTTAAGGCATTTCAATGAATGAGAGAGATCTGCAGTCGGGTTAATGCAACACAATGACACTACAGCTTCAAACATAATGTGAATACAACACATACTGTACATGTGCATGTAAAGCTAATAATTCAGCTAAATCATATTTTGTATTTAATCTCATCGTTTCAACAGGTTTGTTGTCAGGTTAAGGTTAGATTTGGGTTTAGCAACTATCATCGTCTCTGTATAAACCCCACTGCACTTGTGAGATATATTAATAGATACCTTGAATATAATATTAAAGCGGTCATATGATGCGAAGTTTTCCTTTCTCTTTGGAGTGTTACAAGCTGATTGTGCATAGATAAGATCCCTGAAGTTGCAAAGACTAAAGTCTCAAAACCAAAGAGATATTCTTTATCAAAGTTAAGACTCTGCCACGCCCCCCTAAAACAGCTCGTTCCAACACGCCCCCACATATCTACCTCACTATGTGGAAATATTTGCATAATGCCGCCCAAATGTGCACGCAAAGAAAGAAGGCGTGGTTTCAGTAACGCAGTTAGTGTTGAAGCAGCATGTCAGGGAGACGCTGTGTGTTTCTAGGCGAAAGCAAAAGCACTTTATTTGGCCTTTGGCTTTATTTGGAGAGAGAGAGAAAGCGAGAGAGCGAGAGAGAGCGAGAGAGGGAGAGAGAGAGAGAGAGAGAGAGAGAG